GAGGAATTCCCGAGGAGCAGGGGTCCCACAGAATTCCCGAGGAATTCCCCCCAGCACGGGGAACTGGAGCTGCCTGCCCCACCTGGCAGGGATAACAACACTCGGGACTGGGATGATCCCGAGTTCCCAGGGGCCAGGAATGAGCAGCAAATCCCACAGGGAAAAGCTGGAGTGAGGCTGGGACTGGAAAACCTCGCTGGGAAAAAGCTCAGCCCTCACTCCCAGATTAACCCAGAGCTCACCCCAGTGGAAACTGGGACAGGAGCTGCTGGGTTAACTGGGTTTAACATCTATTTATTTATCAGGGATATCAGCATCTCCCGAGCCTCCTCCACAGGAAAAGAGCAGGAAATTGGAGTGAGGCTGGCACAAGAAACAATGCTTTTTAAAAGTATTTCAGTGTGGGCTGGGCAGGCAGAGATGGCCTCACTTTAACTCCCTTCCTTGACCTGTGTTTGTGCCCAAATCCCCGAGATTTTGGGGAGAAAAGGGGTGGGTTTAGAACAGGAACTGCACTCCAGGCTGTCAAACGTGGAGCAGTTTCCATTTGATGGGCACAGTTCTGTGTCACTGTCCTGAGGCAGGGACAGCAGGACACCCTCCGAGCACTCTCCTGTCCTGAGCTCAATCCCACCCTAACAAAGCATCAAAAAGGAGAAAAAAAAAAATCTGGTTTTTCTTCAGGTGACAACAAAACAAGGGGCAAAGTGACACCAAATCGTTGTGGGCAGCTGTTTGGAAATTGTCACTGAAAGACAAAGCAGGTGGATGTTTTACTTAAACAATTCAGGGTTTAGAGTTCTGTTTTATAAAGCATAAATAAGTGTCATTCTTCAGACTCTCACAACAAGCCACCACTTAGAACTCCAAAGTCAAAGTGAAAAAGGGAGGAAATGAGGGAAAAGTGTTTTATTTTTTTCTTTTCCTCACGTCAGGACGGTGCTTTAGAACCACAACACAAACACGTCCGGCAGTGCTGGGTTAGAGCTGACAGCAGATCCCATCACACCTGATCACTCGTGCCCCTGTCAGAACTCCTGTCAGACCCAGACAATCCCACCTCCTGCTCCGGGCTCTCTGCTTTCCCTTTGGAGCACCGGGAATGCGGCCCGTGCTGGGCAGCAGCACCAGCAGCGCTCCAGGATGGCCCCAGCTCCCCGGGAAAGGGAATTATTTCCTTTTCCACACTGCAGGATGATGCACCATTTCCTCCAAACAGCACCACAGGCCCCACACTCTCCTGGGGAGCAGCAGCGGCGATCCCGGCTCTGATTCTCACCCGGCCCAGCCTCGGGAAGGAGCCCAAGGTCCGGGCCAGGCCACAACCTGTCACCCGTCCGGCCTGATCCCATCCTCATCCCAGCGCTCCCACTCCGGCCCGCTTCCCTTTCTCCCACTCGTGCTCCCTCCCCCGGCTCCAGGCACTCCACAGCCCCTCTCCCCCAGCCTGGCGATCTCCAGGAATGCCCGCCCCATGTTTTTCCCCAACTTTTCCCCACCGCCCCCCCATCCCGTCCCTCAGGCCCTGCGCTCTCCCCCCCCCGCCCCCCCACTCCCCTCACAACTCCTTCCCCTCCGCTCTCACCTCGCGGCCCGAGGAGCGGCCCCGCCGGCGGTGCGGCGCTGCTGGGAGGCCGGAGGGAGGCGGGGAGCGCTGCCCGGGCAGGTGCGGTGTGTGGGGACGGCCCCCGGACCCCGCAGCCCCCTCAGGAGACCACCAGCAACCAGGGATCACTATTTGGCAGCATGTCCTCCCGGGCCGGTCTCCGCCGAGCGCGACCCGGGGATCACTATTGCGCAGGTGCCCGCAGCAGCTCAGCGCGCATGCGCGCGGGGCCGGGGTGGTGAGGTGGGGGGGGCCCAGGATATGGCGCTGCCCAGCGCTCCCCTCACGGCAGCGCATGCGCAGTGCGGGGCAGACGCCGCCGGCCACGCCCACCTCCCTTTACAGGCGCGCGCCCGTCGCGCGAGAGCTCTCCCGGCGTCGCGAGCACGCGCGGCCGGGCTGGCTCCGCGCACGCGCATTCCCTCACACCTCCCTTTGTGGCAGGTGCCGTCCCTGCTGCGCTTTCACACACAGATCACTTTGTGGCAGGCGTGCCCTGGCGGCCCTGCCCCTCCTGCTGCCCCGCTGATGAAAGCTCGTCTGGCAGCGCCGCTCAGCGGGCGCCGTGTGCCTCGCTGTCCCTTCGCTGTCCCCGTGCCGTTCCACCGCCACTATGTCTGCCACAGAGCCCTGCCCCACACGGCCCTCGCAGGCGGCACCGCCTTCCCCCGGTCCTTAGAGAGGTTTCCAGGTGTGCCATCGCCTTTTTCCTCAAGGCTCTGTGAGGCGACACCTGCCTGAGGAATGGCGGGAATCACCTCCCCTCACGGCTCCCCTCACGGACACCTGCCTAAGGAATGGCGGGAATCATCTCCCCTCACGGCTCCGTGAGGGGACGCCTTCCTGAGGCAATGGCGGGTGAGCTCCGTGAGGGGACACCTGCCTGAGGAATGGCAGGAACCATCTCCCCTCATGGACACCTGCATAAGGAAATGGGGGGAGCGATGTCCTCTCACGGCTCCATGAGGGGACACTTGCCTAAGGGAATGGCGGAAGACAGCTTCCCTCACGGACACCTGCCTAAGGAATGGCGGGAACCCTATCCCCTCACGGCTCCATGAGGGGACACCTTCCTGAGGGAATGGCAGGAACCATCTCCCCTCACGGACACCTGCCTAAGGAATGGTGGGAGCGATCTCCCCTCACGGCTCCGTGAGGGGACACTGCGGGAGAGAAAGGCGGGAGCCATCACCGCGTTCCCTCATGGTTCCGTGAAGGGTCATGCCGGGGGAATGGCAGGAGCCATCTCCCCTTCCCTCACAGCTCCATGAGGGGACACTGCCTGCGGGAATGGCGGGTGCTCTTTCCCCTCACAACTCTGTGAGAGAGAGTTACCAAAATCTCCCAAAAACGTAATGAAAAACAAGACTCCACCCCTGGTTTTCAGCGTTATCGACTCAGGCCTTGCTTTCTCCTTGGCTCGGGCTCCCGGCTGACAAAGTTTCCCCCACACCCGTGCTGACACAAAACTTTTTTACTTATTTGTACATTTTCAGCAAAGGAAGCAATTAATTTGTCGGTATAGCTCTTCTCTGCTATTTTGTAGCGGTTTGTAACCGGTGAGGCAAAGCTGTCATTGTTGCCAATCCTTAATTGCCTGAATGTTTGTAGAGAGTCTTATCCAGGGCCAGCCTTCCCCTCCTGCCACTTCCAGCCTCAGGGTGAATTAATTCCATTACAAAGCACCCCAATAACCAAATCAACCAGGTTCCACAGCACAGCCACGCTTATTGAGATGAGAAATGCAAAATATTTTTGTTTTCTCTCTCCTTCTCCCAGGTGAGAACTGCTGCTGCTGGCCAGGGGCTTCCACATCCACCCACTGCTGGCTCCGGGATTATTGGGAATATTCTCCACAATGTTTTCCTGGCAAGTGTCTCCTCCAAAGCCTGAAATCCTTGGATGCTGCTGCATTCCTTCGTGTCCCCGAGTGCTGCCCGTGGTGACAGAGCAGCAGGTGATGTTGGCTCTGCGAGGTGCAGGGTTGGTGTTTGCATTCCCATTTCTCCTGGAAACCGCTTTTCACCCCTCTTCCCATTCCCATTTTTTATTCCCACCTAAACTGTGGATTTTTAGCGATGTGTTTCTCCTCTCAGAGCTGGAGTAGCAGAGGAAATTACAGCAGCAGTTTTGCAGACAACAAAGAGATCCCCCCCTCCCTGTCAGCCTCTCTGTAACCAGAACAAACAGAAATTCTCCTTTAATCCAGCACTGGCCAAGTGTCACTCTGCACTGGGGAAGTCAAGTTCTGTTTCAGGTTCTCCTGATCAAAATTCTCTTGTTCCCGGGAAGTGGGAAATTAAATTGGGCACCTGTGGAAAGGGAGGTGGAATTTCGGCTCTCCTCCCTTTGCAAAAGTTATTTAGCCCCCCTAAAAGAGAATTATTGTCACTTCTTCGTGTCTGGGGCACAATTCTGTGATAAATAAACAATTCCAGGTATTTGAACCTTGGATATTCCGATGGGGATTCTGGCACGTGTGAAGGGAGAGCTCTGAATTCCCAGCTCCAGGGACAATTCCCACCAGGCAGGTGGCATTTCCCTGGAACAAGGGACACCAAACGCTGCCCTAGCCCAGGTTTGGAGGTGTCACCCCTCTCAATTTGATTTCCACGGGAAGCTGATTAAACCAAGCTCTGAGAGGAGCTGTGTGCAAGAATTTTAACTAGCTGCTGCTTTTTAATATTCACTTCCTCTTCGGGTTTAATTATTTTGTTCCTGCGTTTTCCCTTTCAATTTACTAAAACTCCAGAAATGTAATTAGGGAGAGGCTGAGCTGCAGAGAGCTGCCAGCGTTTCTGTGCCGTGATGAACAGGAGCAGCCCAGCCTCCAGGACAGGATTCCAATCATTATCCCCTTATCCAGGAAGGATCTGCGGCACGTCGGGATCAGAGCTATTGAAAATGCAGCGCTAATTAAACTCCCCTATCAGGAGAGGATGAAAACGCAGTTATTTCATGATTTCCTGGCTTTGCCGGCTCTGTTAGGAACCCAAACAAACCCCACTCCAAACAAAGCCCTGCTCAGTCACGGGGGGAGATTTAATGAGATTTTAATTCGTGCAGCACTCACGGAACCAGAGCAAGGTGCTGCTCCCCTCTGCCCGTACCAGGGGCACCTGTGGAGCTCATTTCCCATCTGGAGAGCACCAGGAATGCTGTGCCACGGAATTGCCATGGAATCCTTGCTAGATTTGGGGAGATGCTTGGGTCATGTTAAATTTAAATCGTTGGATAATGTGGATATCACAGGCTCCCATGGTTGAGCTGTTAAGTGGTCATTTTTTTTTTTTTTGCTACAGCCAATTAAGAATCCATTCTCTCCTGCTGGTGCCCGGGGTGTTTCCATCCCTGGCAGCTCTCCTGCTCCTCCCAGCCCCTCTGGAGATTCTCCTGTCACAGCAGCCCCGGCTCTGTCACCTCGCTGTGCTCACACGGGGGCTGAGGATGGGCAGAGCTGCTGGATCCTGGAATCCCTGAGCCGTGGAAAGGCTGAGAACCCTGCAGGGAAGGGGGATGGAGAGCCCGGGTGCTGCAGCCCCTTCTCCTCCAGGGA